GCCCCTCAGGTTAACATTATACTTTTCAGAATTTTAGTTAATTGTAATAGTTTTTTAGGTTGGGGTCTGATTGTAACGATTTTGGAGTAGTTTGATCAATTTGTAATAATGGCATTAAAGGAATAAATTTGGATTTAATTGATTTAATTGCAACAATTATGTAAGTTTTGGTGATATGATTGATCGAATTAAAATTTATGGGTGTGATTGTGATAACCCAATAATATAATTCAGTATAATTTTAACCATTTACCCTAAAAAAACACAATTTTAACAAGCAAAAATATTTTATTTATAAACCTTTCATTATTATAATTATTTTAGTTAAACAACATGGAAATTGGGAGGAGGAGATTCGAATCTTCGATCTCTTGGTCGATTGTATATATCTCGATCAGTTGAGTTATACTCAAATTGCAAAACGAGCTCTTACAATTTAAGAATGATTATTATTATTTATTATCTATGTTATATTTAATAATTTTAAAATTTTTACTATTAAAATATTTAAAAACACCTACAATTGCATACGAATGTTAATTGGTTACTTCTATGATAATAGGTCGTATTAAATTTTAAAACGCTTTTTATGGACAAAAAAGTGAAATTATCAACCCGAATATAACTTAACTAGTTAGTTAAGACATATATTGTCGGCTAAAAAGTTAAAATTTTGAAGTCTCACTTAATGTATTGTTGAACTAAAAAATAAATAAAAAGATGTCGAACTCACCCTCATTATATACTGTTTTTTTTTTCTTTTTTTTTTGTGAGATAGTGAAATCACTATACATATTAAAAATAATTAATGATGTTGCTTGACTATTTTAATATTAATATTATATTTATCAGTGCGTATAACTCAACTAACCATATTTTTTTATCTCTCAAAATGTTAGAAGTTCAAATTCATAACCGAGGTATTTAATTTAACATGGGGATAGCTTTTAAAACAAATGGTTTTTCCTTTGGAAATATGCATGAGAGAAAGCCCAATAAATGAGTTTTTTTTAATAGCCCAATAAATGAGACTTTAAAACTTAGGCCATGTGGAATCTTTTATTTTTTTGTAGTACAAAAGTTTGATTTAATTATAATATAAGATATGCAATTTTCGATAACTTCAATAACACGAGAAAACTAATGGTACACTTACCAACATGAGCATAGTTGAACGGTAATTGGTATATACTCTAGTATCCCAAATTGTTGTAGTAAAAAAAAAAACACTTACGATATATATTTCTTTTAATTTATAGTATTCTAAAAACATAAATTATTTTTGCATGCATGTATATTTGGGTAAATAATACAATGACAATATTTATCAAAATTTAATATGTTGATAGAAATGTCAACATGCTATACATCTATACAGCAGACTAATAACACTTATTTCCTTTTTTAGAGGTATAAATTAAAATATTTATCTTTTCAATAAAAAAATAATAAATAATAAATAAAATAAATAAATATCAAATGTTTGTTTCGATTTATTAAAAAATAGAAAACAATAAATGAGAACATATTACACTTAAAATCTCAAACTCCGATTTTATAATCAAATAATATGGAAGAATTACTTTCCCAGTCTCAATCTTATTCTCTTATTTAATATTTTGATTATTTTATTCTATATTAACTTATCTTATATACAATACAATAAAAGTTAAATAGTTTTACGTTTATGAAATTTTATTTTAATCTAAAATTTTTAACAGTGTTGTACTTTTTTGAAACCTCATGGGAAATTGACTCAAACGAACTAAAAAGGTTTTCATTTTACTAAAATGTCCTAACATTTTTAAAATTTATTTTTCTAACCCAAATTAATATTATATTCAACTAAAAATAACTGTAAAATCACAATGATACCCCTATTATCTTCTATTCACTCACTTCTTCCATTTATTTGTCTTTCATCCTCAAATTTCTCTCTTCTCCTTTCCGCTCCCATTTCTTCCGTACAATATCATTTCTCACTTCTATTTTGTAAAATTAATTGCAGCGGAACCTTTGATTCGAACTATTATGCTCCTTCTCATTTTATTTATTTATCCTTACTCTTGTTCTTCGATTTTCTTTCTCTTCTCCTATTTTTCAATTTCAATTTTTGTTACTTTATTTCGATTCGAATGAGAATTGATATACAACTCTAATCTCGAATGATTTTTTTTTTATTTGGGTTTGTTGAAATTAGAATGGACATAAATCTCAGACTTGGATCCATCCATATTGCATAAATCTCGACCTATTGATTTTTCTTTTTTATATTGGGTATATGACCATTAATATTAAGCTTGAATCTGACCCAAAATTTCATAAATATCGTCCAAAATTCATAAATCTGGTTCGAGACTCGTGTAAATTCGCCCAGTATTCATGTAAAACTCGGGCGAGTTCGAATATCCTCGCCCAAATTTTGAAATTTCCAGATTCACGAATGAGTCTCAATAACTTGGATGAATTTCAGATAAACTGAAATATTGTTTTATTAATATGTGCAGTACAATTCAAATAATTTTGCTTGGCTTGTTGGTCTTGTGTGCGAACCTTCATCCTTGAGATCGCGGGTACAACTCCAACCGTCGGGCAAGTTTTCTTCAATCTCACCCAAGTTTCACTCAAATTTTTTCATTGAATTAAGGGGTAATTTTTTATTTTCCGCATTTCTAACATGTCAGAAAAAGTTGTTTTAGGTTATAAAAGCATATTTTTAAATAGTAGGTCATAAATTAAAAAACTTATTAGGTTAAATTTATCAGTTTCCCAAACCTTATTGACATTAATTATTTTCAAATATGCACACGTGGCTACTCCAAATTTTCCACGTTGTTTTTTACATTAAAATTTCTCATCGTTTTACCTTTTAGATTTATTTAATTATTAATAATGTATAAATTTATTTATTTATATTTTGACTCCTACAGACAAAATTTCCAAATTTGTATGCTACTTTTTATTTTATTTTATTTTAAATATCATCCCACTTTTATAACTTTTCAAAGTATTGGTTGAAGTTTTTCTATTTTTAACTATTGATAGTTATTTATTATATAATCCTTTAGTATTTTTTAATTTAAAATTATAAAAATATTTAAAAAGGATAAATGGTAGTTGTTGGCAACTGTTTTGGGATCGTTCCATCCCTGAGTGGCTTTGTAATTTAGCAAGGAACGATCTCAAAAGCTTTTAACAAAGATTTTGATTTTTCATTAGTTTATTGGTCTATCTGTATTATAGGAACTAAATCATTACTAATCAATTAAATTGTTGAACATTAAAATTAATTGACTAAACTGTTACCAGTTTAAAAATATAGCGGTTAAATTGTTACAAACTAAAATTTAGACACTAAATTGTTACTTCAACTAAAAATACATGGAAAAAATGTTTGACTAAATTAGAAAAAAAAATACTCATGAAATTTGTCTTTTTTTAAAAACATACTCCTCTCATTTTCAAAAGTTAAATACCGCCATTAATCTTTCAAAAACATTTAAAAAATATCATTCGAACAAATATCTACAAATACTTTGAATGGAAAGTTGACGTGCAAATTAACCTCTCAATTTTGCTCTAAGACTCCGTTTTGTTACCTGTAATTGTAATCAATGAATCGTAATGAAAACTTTTGATTCATTTGATGGTGTTTATCAAATTGTATAAATGTAATCAAATGGTGGGACTCACCTCAAATTTTGTAATCTTATTACATGAAAAGTTGTAATTCCATTACACTCCGACAACCCCATCAATCTCATTCTCATTCCTTATGTCGTGGACCCTACATATATATTATAATTTAATGTACCATCTGTACCCTTTCTCTCTCATATATGGATTAGATCCATATAATTTTTAATTAGTTCTTTTTATACTTTTATAACTTCTACTCCATTTATACTCCAACTTTTATTAGATGAGGTGATTTTATTATATAATATGATAAATTAATATTAATTAATATCAATAATTTTTTTAATAGATATTATTACTTTTAAATATTAGAATAGTAAAACTTAATAATATGTTATATTAAAGTTTGGTTATTCTAATAAAAAATATTCTATTAATATGTAATTTTATTTTAATTATTTATTGAGTATTAATATCAAATAAATTATTATAATAAAAACTATTTACCATCATAGTAATAAATTAAATTAAAATATATTATTATTGTAATTTAAAAAAGGTTAGCACAATGATATATCTTAATTAGCTAAAAAGGAGAAAGGGTATATTAGTAATTGTCTTATATCCGATTCTATATGGTTTTAGTAGACAATATCAAAGGAATTCTAATCACAATTCCATAAAATTTGTAGTAATCAACATCAATAGAATAACATTAGGATGCCTATTGATTTCATTATGATTAATTTTCATTACTATTGATTTCTATTACGATTGTGGATATGTAAACGTGGCCTAAAAGTCTTATACTTTAATTGTAAATAGAGTTTCCTTTCCACTATTTACCCAATTGTCACGTCGTTATGGATTCTGATTTTTGACAAATCAAATTTTGTTCAAAATATTAACTTTAAAATGGTATTTTTGAAACGTTTATGAAAGGTAGTAGAAACAATAGAGGTATTTTTTTTTAAACAAATGGCAAAGCTCATAGAATATTTTTTTGTAATATAGCCGAATGTATTTTAACCTACAAAATACGAGAGTATACTAACCTAAACCTAACTCAACTAGTTAAAGCATATTAACATGGACAAGTATGAGAAGGTTTTGTTGTCTGAGCTCCTAAGGGGCAGTTCGACTAGCAAGCACTCGAGATCTCTTGATCATATCGACTTATAAATCTCATGTTCGAACCTTCCAATCAACTTAATACACAAGACTCTTTATGTCTCTCGGGTCCGAGCCTTGGGACAGGCGCGTAAAACCGAGTCACCGTTATCAAATTATTTTTATATTATTATTATTTTGCATGAGGGGCGTTTATAGGCCCATTTTCCCAAATGCAGCCTTCTGTTTGCGTACACAGAAGAAATCCTCTTCTTAGCTTTCCTCTCTCCCAAAACCAAAAACCAAAACCCCACTCTTCGATTCTCTCTCCTCCTCCACTTTTCCCCTTTCTCTCTCCTCTTTCTTTACCGAACCCCAAAGAATTTGCCATTCCCCAATCGCCAATTTCGACGATTTCCCCATCCGCCATGGATTCTGAGGACGATCTCCATTACTCCACCGACGTCGAATCCCTCGACGATGATTGCGATTTCTACTGCGGCGATATGGACATGGGTATGGGCTACTACAGCGACGACGACGACGATCCTGACGCCGAGGACTTCGTCGAGGACGACACCGATGATTACTTCGACTCCCGCCGCCGCGAGGTTTGGTTTTCCGATTCTTTTAATCGGGTGTCTGCTGTTGTGATTACTTGTGCCCCTTCGTTGCTTTTTTTGTCGAATTGAGGGGTAAAGTCGATCTCTTTGGGCGGCGAGGCAAAGGCAAGGCTGTGATTTTTGAGACAGGAACGGGAGTTTAATGGTTCAAATTTGATCTTTTGGTGATGTTAGTTTTCGAGCTTCTGCTGCCTTTCAAGTTAGTTTAAATGATATGCTTTTCTTTTGATTGGAAGCTAAGTAGGATTGTGTCTGGTGGAAACAAGTATTTGCATAGTAGAAATGACGGTAATTCAGTTTAAAGAAGAAGAAAGGGAGTTCAATAATGTATTTTTTCTTTTGGTGGTAAAACTGTACTATTGGGTTTTTTCATGTGTGGTGTTCTGACTGGTAGAGAAGGGGGAAATTAACTTTAACCTCCTGAAGTTTTATTCTCCACTTGTGTTTTTATAATTGGATATATTACTTGGAAATTATTTGGATAGACATTAGACTTAGCGAGGGAAGTATATTGTGGTAGAATGAAAAATGGGTGGTACTTCTCTCTCTTTCTCTCAATGGATCTTGTTCCTGCCGTTGGTTCTGCTTTGAGTGGTGTACTTGAATTGAAATGTACTTGGAACTCTGTCAAAAATGTCACTTAGCAGTATCTAGGCTTTTTTAAATTGGAACAGAATCTTTTAATCATGACAGACAAATAAATGTACCTTTTTTATTATTTTTGACCAATGTCTCAGCACTGGTTCCTCGTCAGTTGTCAATAGTTTCTAACCTTATCAATCATGTAACTGTCGCATTACCTTTCTTTACCACTTACTTCTGTATCTTTAGTTCAAACGTGGTTGAGCCATTGAGGGTGGAAATAAGCTTTTTTTAATATCAGGGACATGGAGGAGATTCTACTAATTATTGGTGATTAGATGCCATTTTTCAATTATAACCTCTTTTTTCATCTCCTTGATCCATGCTAAGTAGCTCCATCCCATGATCAAGATTTATTTTGAAAATCTCGTGACTTTCTTGGTTTTTCCGTTTTATTTTTAATTTTTAATTTTTATAAGAAACGGATAAGATTTCGTTATCAAAGAGGCCAATACAAAAGAGGGGCTAAGGCCCTTAAAAGCCTACGGCTACAAAAAAATGCTCCAATTGGCGATAATATTCACAAACTATTTTTGCTTATTATTATTATTATTGAATTTTAACTAGTGTCCTTGTGCAGCAAAACTATACCATTCTAAATGAATCAGATATACGGCAGCGCCAAGAGGATGACATTACAAGAATTTCGTCTGTACTTTCTATATCACGTGTAGCTTCAATTGTCTTGCTCCGCCACTTCAATTGGTATGGCCTTTATTTGTTGAATTCTTGTTAGGCCTTTTTCCCCCTGATTTTTGAAATGGTTATTACATTATAAGTTTCAATAATGATGTATTTTTATTGTCACTTTTTTATACATATATGTTATCAATTTGCAATGCAGGAGTGTTACTAAAGTCCATGATGAATGGTTTGCTGATGAAGCTCGAGTAAGAAAACAAGTTGGCTTGTTGGAAGCACCTGTTTTACATGTCTTGAATGCTAGAGAAGTAATTACTGTAGATTTTTGAATCCTCATCTTTTCTTACATAGTTTCTTATGTGTTATGTGTTTTGGTGTCTTTTTGTGTGCATACCACTTGGAAAATATCTTGATGATTGCTTTTGCTGGCAGCGTACTTGTGGAATCTGTTTTGAGTCCTATGCACATAGTAGGATCAAGTCAGCAGCATGTGGTCATCCTTTCTGTGCCTCCTGCTGGGAAGGTTTGTCATAATCTTGTGATATTACAGTACCAATACCTGCTTCTATTCCATCCAAGATTTTTGACGTGAATCTTGTGTCGTGATTTTTTTATATTAAAGTATCCATACCTGTTTGTACTCCAAGTTTAATGACGTGAGTTTTGTTTAAGTAGTTCATCATGTTCTGGACATTCATTAGCATAGTTTGTGTTCTATACTATGGCTGTATTTGTCGAGTTTATATATTTTTCTGACTGACTCTTATATATAACATATGAACACGAACTACTCTTTTGCATGCCTGAGCTTTGTCCAGACACTTGTCAAAGAAATTTAACTCTAGAATCCTTATTGGCTTCCTTATCACTAGCTCCTAACTGTTAACCATGAGTTAGTGTGAATTAGATACTGTATCTGCCACTCATGCACAAGAAATATGAGAAGCTTTTACGTATAACTATATGCTTGAGTTTCTGAAAATAACTCAGGTTACTATCTGATTTTGTTCCTTGATCTGGATAATGAATATAGAAGTCACGATATTTATTCAATTGATTTTCATGCTTTACCTAACATAATATGCACGTAATGTAAGCTTTTTTGTGTTTATTTACCTCGTTCATCTCATGAAATTTGTTTCCACAAGTCTACTTGTCCTTAATTCTGGTAACTAATCCCTATTTTATGTGCTTTATTCATGTGTATATATGTCTACTATTAACTGTCTTGGACTAGTTTTCTTTTATTATTTTTGGAATCACTCCACGTAGTTTACATGACCATATCATTTGTATGTTCAATATTCACCTTTTGATTGACATATCTTATATTCGCACATGGATCTCTGGATAGGTTACATTAGCACAGCAATTAATGATGGTCCTGGATGTCTGACGTTGAGATGTCCTGATCCTTCTTGTGGTGCTGTGGTTGATCAAGACATGATCAATTCATTAACCTCAAATGAAGACAGGGACAAATATGCCCGTTACCTTCTTAGGTCTTATGTTGAAGACAACAAAAAGGTATACCTTGTCTTGTTAGCTTATTGTTTACTTTTGTTTTGAGCTCAATCATACAGTTAATTTGCCTAAGCTTTGTTTTCTTCTTTTCTAATTATTAGCAGAGAGCTAGCTATTCATTCTCAAATCTACATTTTTACATCAATATTTCAACCATACCTGACTAGTAACTGTTACATGTTAAAATATAAGCACAAATACATGATGTCATTTGTCAGCTATGAAACACGGACACACATTTTGGGCGAAGTATCTGTGTGGGACACGTGTCCGACACGGATATGCCCGGACACGTGCCGGACACATGTCATACATGCATTTTGGCGTGTGTTTTTTTTTTTTAAATCGGACACGGGATGGACACGGCAGCTCACTTTTTGTGGGTTTTCTGAGCCCAAATAAGAAGGCCCAATGCCCATTTGTAATTAGAAAAAAAAACAAATAAATGATTAAATAACCTAATTAGCCACCCACCCACGAAAACAAAACACACAGCAGCTACCCACTGCCCTACTGGATGTAATTGACTTCATATTTATGCATTTTAGTGTAGTTAGAATTTTTTGTGTTAAATTTACATATATCCTAAAAAAATATTAAAAAAAATAAATGTATCCCCAACGTGTCCGTGTCCTAATTTTTTAGGAATTGATGTAGCCGTGTCCTATCGTGTCCGTGTCCATGTCACGTATCCATGTCCGTGCTTCTTAGTTTGTCAGTATCTTTCTCTTTTCATATGTGAATAATATTTAACAAATGCCGTGTTTTATCCCCCTACTCGTTAGATACTGTAGCTCTACTTTTATCCACCCAATTTATTGTTCCTTTCTGTTTCATGTTCATTTATGCTGACAGTTGCAGCTTTCTTTGTTATTTATTGTGGTTCCTATCTTTATAATGTTCTCATTTTCACATTCCTCCTTTTTACTGCCAGACAAAATGGTGCCCAGCTCCTGGTTGTGATTGTGCTGTTCTCTTTGATGCTGGTAATGGGAACTATGATGTTTCTTGCCTCTGCACATATGGCTTTTGCTGGAATGTTGGTATCACCAATCTTTTCTATTATAGCTTTTTAAAATTATTTTACATATGTATTTAGCTTTTCTTTTGAATCTTCAGTGTACAGAAGAAGCTCACCGTCCTGTAGATTGTGCTACTGTGGAAAAATGGGTTTTAAAGAACAGTGCTGAGTCTGAAAACATGAACTGGTATTTCTTCTGGCATGTGTAGTCTTCTTTAGTCTTTTTAACACTATCATAAAAGATTTTAAAGTTCAATTTATTTTACCCTTTTCCCTTCCTCACATTTAACGTTAGCTTTTTTGCTGGAGTCTCCTTTTTCACACGCTTTTCTTCTTTTGTATTCTCATTGTTTTGTGTTCTGTTCCTTATGCTCGTGATGTTTTTCCATCTGTTATTCTTTTGCAAAACGTTGTGCATGATTAACAATGATGATGGTAATGTGTTGAGTTTGTGTGTGTAAACATAAGTTTCATTTATATTTTCCAACAAGGCATGACCAAGCGAAAGAAGTTTATAGAAATACCTTACTTTTTTCTGGAATAATTTTTTTAATTATAATTTCAGGATATTAGCTAATTCCAAGCCTTGTCCAAAGTGCAAGCGACCAATTGAGAAAAATCAAGGGTGCATGCACATGACATGCACACCTCCGTGTAAATTTGAATTTTGCTGGTAAGCTTTGACACAGTTGATGAAATGAAGTCATCTCTTCTATTGTTGTTATCGTAATGTAATTTTTTAACATTTAATATAATGATTTCGCATCCTTTCTTTTGGGGGGAAATATTTTTTTAATGGGATTATTTATATTAAGCTAAGAGGTCATAACATGAGTGATTCAGCATATCCAGATTCCTATATATCCACTCATGTTGTGGTAGGGGATAAGACTAAGCAGGGCGAAATGGGGTTTTATTGATTTCATCTTTTGTTGGGCATTTTACAAATAGATTGTTCTTTAATTTTGTTAAATTTATGAAGTGCAGGCTATGTCTTGGTGCATGGTCAGATCATGGCGAAAGAACTGGTGGCTTTTATGCTTGCAACCGATATGAGGTAGCTAAGCAAGATGGTGTGGTAAGAAATTCTCCAACCTATAATCAGTTCCAGTTGTATTCTGTGGAGCTATCCTTGAAATTTATACATTTTTATGCTTTGATATTGTAGTATGATGAGGCTGAGAAAAGGAGAGAAATGGCAAAGAATTCTTTGGAGAGATACACTCACTATTATGAACGTTGGGCAAGCAATCAAACAGTATGCACTATGCAGAAAAACTATCCCCAACTTCGTGTAGCAAATTCTTATCAAAAAACGTTCTGTAGCAAACAGTACATTCGCTCATAATTGCATGTGCTAGTCTATCATTATGTTTTTCTAGTTCTAGCCATGATCTTGATGTTTGTCTTTGAGTTGACGCACGTGATTGTTTCTCCTATATGGTATGCTTCTCTTTATCTTCCCTTTTGACTTGTGACTGCTTGCTGCTTGTCAATGTATCTTAAAACGTTTAGAGAATCTGATGCGTGACATAGTAAAGTTGGGCAGTTGTCTGTCTCATATGATCAGCCAAGAGTAGACCAACCTAAACTCTCAAAGATATTAAAAGGATATGACGATAAAAGTATAATATACAGATTTTTATAATCAATAAAGCTCCGAACTTTATTTGCATTCACGAAATATTCATTTATGCAGATGAGTGGGCAATTTTTCTGGTTAGGTTATTTTACTTATCCTTTGTTATTATTCATAATGTTTATCTTCCTACCTACCATATCAGTAGTAACATATTTCTTTTTTTAGTAGTTAGTTATCGTAAGCCAGATTACTTGTCATTAAGTAATATTGACCAACCATGTGCTGGGTGGCAGAGAGGTCACTGCTGTTCAAACTTCTTTCTACCACTGAGTGGTTCATAAAATCTTCTGTGAAGCCTTTTTAAACTTCTTTGGTCCCTACGTACGGCTGCATTTCTCACCCTCGTTTTTGTGGGTGTGTGTTTTCAATGAGATTTGGTTCTTTTCATTAGGAACTGCTACATAAGCTCTGGTTCTTGAAGTGCATGGAATTTGTCGTTCGGACAGTTCTATTTTATTATTTTATTTTTCGATTTTTGATGTTAGGCTGTCTTTGTCCTTTGCAGTCTAGACAAAAAGCACTAGCAGATTTACATCAAATGCAGAATGTGCATGTGAGTTACTATTTTACTTTACAACTTTTAATTTCATTTAGCTACTGGATTGTCAATGCTCCAGAGCTTTTTATTGTAGAGCCATTTTATCTCAATGAAAGCTCGGTTTCTTATTTAAATAAAAAGATATTTATTGTGTTTGTTTGTTGATGGGTAAATAAAGATCAAATCAGAAGATCCTCTTAGTTTCTATTTGCACGTGATTATACTACTCTGTTTTCTGTGGTTCCAATTAAATCTTGGAGATACTGATTATTATTTCTCGGTCTTTCTTAGATTGAGAAGCTCAGTGATATACACTGCACTCCTGAGTCTCAGCTAAAGTTCATAACAGAGGCTTGGTTACAGGTATGTTCAAAGTTTATCCAACGATGAAACATCAGATTTATTCGGTTTTCGGCACGTAGACTTGCTTCTGATAGGTTTTCAAGTTTGTATATGTATCAATTTTAAAAAGTTATATAGCTTGAGGATCCTCAAGATGTTATAATTTTGATAACCATTTTGTTCTCAGTTTTTTGTTTTTGAAGATTAAGCTAATTAACATCATTCATTTGTTTTGTAATATAATTTCTAAAACATTTTCAAGGTGTCTAAAAGCCAAAATTTAAAAACTAAAAAAACAGTAGTTTTCAAAACTTGGTTATGTATTTGAAATTTGACTAAGAATTCAAATATGTTAAGGAAGATGAAAAATATACCAAAGAAATTGTGAGCAAGCTAACATAATTTTTAAAAACCGAAAACTAAAATTGACAACAGTAAAAAAATATATAATTTTTACAGTTTTGAGATGGGATATTATTTTAGCCCAACTATTTTATGACCCCATATTCACTTTCTTGCCAATTATTTGTAGATAATTGAATGTAGACGAGTTTTGAAATGGACTTATGCATATGGATATTACCTACCGGAACAGGAGCATGCCAAGAGACAGTTTTTCGAGTATTTGCAAGGTAATTCCATTCTCAAGGTATGGCCAAGGAACTTTTTCTTATTCTATGATTGGCTTAAGAAATTTGCTTCTCCTGCAGGTGAGGCCGAGTCTGGATTAGAAAGACTTCATCAATGCGCTGAAAAGGAACTACTACAGTTCCTCAATGCAGAAGGTCCATCAAAAGAATTTAACGACTTCCGCACAAAGCTTGCTGGTCTGACCAGGTAATGAAGCCATATTCATTAATATACAAGTCCGGTTTCATTTTAGGTTAAATTATAAGTTTTGTCTCCTTTAAAATGGTTCTAATAGATTCTTGAACTTAGAAGAATGTATTTCTCTAGTCCGTGAGTCCTTGTACTTCATAGTTTAACAACTACAACCTCTTTGAAATCAATGCACCACATAATCTTTAAATATATTGAGTATGTCATAAAAGTGTTGAATCAATTAATAGGATCTATTAAACACAAAATCAAAAGTTCATAAACTTTTTAGAAACTAGTACAAAGACTAGGAGGTAGACACAATCTTGAAAGTCTAGAGACCGATTAGATTTTTCCTTTTTTTATGGTATAGGAACTAAATAGACACAACTTGAAAGTTTAAGAATTAAACATGTAATTCAATCTTTATTTTTTCTGTTCTGTTCTAGTTCATCACATTCATTTCAGCTCTAAAGTATATATATGGTATACTTTGAAATCAAAATGAGTGTTAGTGTGATGGAATGCTCTATAATTTCGCGACTCATGTATTTGTCTGCTGAATACAGTGTTACTCGAAATTACTTTGAGAACCTGGTTAGAGCATTAGAGAATGGGCTTTCAGATGTGAACTCACACGGAGCGTGCAGCGGCACAACAAGCTCAAAAAACACAGCTGGAAGTAGTAAAGGAGGGAGAGGCGGACGGGGAAAGGGAGTCAGCCGAACCAGCAATTCGAGCAGAAGCGGGGACAGTGCCACTCACTGGTCGTGCGAACACTGTACCTTTGTGAACACAAGATCTGCTACCACGTGCGAGATGTGCCATCAACGCCATTGAAAACCTCTGGTTTCAATCAAAGTAGAGAGAGAGAGAGAGAGAGAGAGAGAGTAATCAACAGTGAGAAGAAATAGAAAAGTGTAATTTGGTGGGTTTGCTGACCCTTTTTCTTCCTGTTGAATATGTGGAAAAAAGAAAAAGAAAAAGAAAAAGAGGGAGTGATTGTGAGAGAGGGAAATATGTCAAATATGATTTGAATGTAAATAGGTGGCAGTATAAATTTAACAAATTTGTGTTGTGCAGAATATGTGGCTTCACTTGCTGGTTTAATGGTGGATACAAGTGAGAGATTATATTACTACTACTACTACTATACTAGTCTTGAAATAATGCATTACTGTTTTCTTCTCTATCATGCCCAATGCCAAGCAACTTCAAGATTATGCTTTTTGTTCATGTAATTTGCTGTATTAGGTATAGGGTGTCTTTTCTTTCCTCCTTGTTTGAGTTCAACTAAGAGCAAGGGATTTGAACCATTGACCTTTTAAGAAGGTAAGGTAAGTAGGATTTTGACCTGTACGTCGTGTTCAGTGGGTATAGAAGTTTTTTTAAGTTCAACTTGTGGATCTAGGGATTTGAACATCAAACTTTTTAGTTGAAGTTGTCTTCAAGAGATAGCTTGGAATCTCAAGGAATATCTTTGAGGTCTTGGGTTTAAATCACATAGAATGCAACTCCATTGAGTAATGATCCATTGTGTATGTACGGGTATGAGGACAGTGTGCATACCTTCTAGGTATAGGGGTATAAATGTCAAAACGTCGTCAACTCTTAGGTAATAAAAAAAATTGTATTTTTTGACAAGTATAGAGGGTTGTAGATTAATAGATTTTACTATTTCATTTAAAATTTTGGGATGGGTTAAATTGAGAGATGTATTTTGATTTCGTTTCATGGTTTGGTTGGTGAATTTGTTAAATTTAATTGACTTTTGTTTGGGTTTAATTTAACTCAATAATAAGATATTTAGGTTATTTAATTCCTACACAAAAATGATAGATATGGTAATAATTTAGGCATTTATATCTTATTTTGTATAAAAAAAAAGGCACGACTTGCACAATCTGAGTTCAGCGTAAAATTGTATTTACTCTTTCCAATGAAAAAAACAACACATATATTTAATTCAGTGGGATGTGAAAACAAATATTAAATGTTATAATCTTCAGAAAAAAAAAATCATTCTACTTTTGCTAAATGTATAGTTTCTTCGCAATTCAGATTATTTCTAAGTTCAAGATAAATTTTAATATATTAGATTCTATGTCACAAATCTTGGGAAGTTGAGATTTTTGACCAATTCCAATAACTACTTTGGACTTTTGACCCCCTTTTGATTTTTACTATTTATGACCCCTCAGATTTCTGACTCCTCCCCTTATTTTGCTTGGTAAAATTACCAAGTTACCCTCAATTTAAAAAAAGAAATCAAACCCAGCCCTCCCCTCCTTTCCCTCCCTGTCTCGGTCCTTCCCTTCCCTCATTCACTATCTCGTTGTCCATCCCAGTCTTCATCCCGGTCTCTCCCTCACAACCAGAAAGTTCATCTCCGTCATTTCTTCTTCGTCTCCCTCACTTCGTCTCTATCAGAGCTTCCCCCTTCCCTAATTGAGGTAATTTTTCTTTCGAACTCGCGATCTTATTGTGAATGATTTTCTACCTTTTTTTCTTCGTTCTTTGCGTGGGTGTGAATGATTTCAACCTTCGGCTCTATCTGAAGTAGCCAAGGTTATTATGAAGTTTGATTTATTGTTGCTTCCATTGTTTTGTTTTAATTTTTGACTTTCAGGGTTCCATCTCGGCTTTAAGCCCGGTGGATTTAGGACTGGGATGAAACCCTGAAAGTCCATTCCAGAAGGATGGACTTTCTTGATTCCATATCTTGTACTTCGACTTTCTGGATTCCATCACAGGCCTCAACCCGGTTCGTTTCTAAGCAATATTGTTTTGTTTTGTTACAGGAGACATGGATATGACACTTAAGATCAACCAAGACAACTGGTTCCTGGCCGCGCTGTCAAATCTCGCTCACGTAGGGAAAACCTCTTCTCGTCTTAAGGCTAGGTTAACTCCCTCTCAGTTAGACATGTTTAGTCAAACATGTTTTGGTCTGATTTTAGGGATGAACGTTGTATTTAACAGTCCGTTGTTCCATCACCTGTTGCTTAGAGAGGTGGAGGAACCTAGAGACGACCTCATTAGCTTTAACCTATTCGGGAATAGGGTCTCTTTTGGGAAGCGGGAGTTCGACCTAATAACCGGTC